GTCCCCAGGAGGCCCAGGGCCATGAAGATGAACAGGGCGATGCCCACGATGGTGGAGATCAGCTCCATTTTCTCTGCAAAGGGGCAGTTTGCCAGGGTCAGGTCATGGCCGCAGCTTGGGCTTGTGGCTCCGTGCACGTGCCAAGGGGGTGGGCACCCGGCCTCCCCCTTCCCCGGGCGGTGCTGGACAGTCTGTGGGGCCCCAAGGGCTCCCGTGCACGGCCGGGGATGGCCCCCCTACAGCGGGAGGGGAGCACGGAGGGGCTCTGGCTGTGCCAGCGCTGCTCTCCCACCCTGGCCTGCGTGATGTAGCACCCCTGCTTGGAGCGCTTCACATGTGACGTCTGACGGCTTCCTGGGGCCTCAGCTCCTGGGGGAGCGTCTGCGTGTGGTGAAGGTGTGTGCATGTGACAGGACATCCTGCACGAGCAAGTGGGAACGGGTGTGGGGGGAGGATGTCAGTGCCTGCTTGCATGTGCACACGTGAGTGCTGGCGTGATGGAGAGAGCCGGAGCTCTTCTTACTGCCCCCAGGCCCAGGGGCCTTGCTCCCCTCGGCCCTGCAGCGGGGACCTCCCCTCTGACGCTGTGCCCGTCTCTCCTCCCAGCTGTAGCCCCGCCATGCTGCATGTGCCGGGGAGGCAGCAGGACAGCGGCTACAGCCCCCTGGTTCGGAGGGTGGGTCTGCCCCGGTCCCAGCCTCTGGTGGGCAGCCCCCGTGTCCACTGCGCCCAGTCCATGCCCTACGGGAATGCAGGACCCGGCTGTGCACAGCCAAAACGAGGGGCTGAGCTCTGATGCCTCAGATGGGGTGGGCTTCCCCTCCTCCACCCAGCCCTTCCGCTTACCATCCTTGACGGGGATGGAGACGCACTTCTCTTCAGTCCATATCCCAGGGTTCGGCCTGGAGATGATGCGCGGCTGCAAGCGCACACAGTACTGCTCGCCCCAGGAGAGGTCGGAGATGACGATCGTCTCGCTGGTGCGCACGTACTGAACCTGAGCAGGGCACAGGGAGGCTGTTATCTGGGCGGCTGCTTCCCATGCCTGCTCTGACTATTGAGGTTGTTTCTGGGTGGCAGGCCCGTGGCACCGGGTCCCTGCCCTCTTCCGGGAGCACTCCAGGTGCGACCAAACTGCAGCGGGCTCCAGCTCTGGGCTCCGGCTGCCCAGGGATGCCAGCCTGCCTGCGTGCAAGAGCCGGCTAAGAAAGCCAGTCGAGTTCGGGGGGCGATGGCAGGGGCTCACTTGCGGAGCAGACCTCACCCTGCTCACCTGCTCGTGGTCTGAGGTCCTGTTGACGAGCACAAGGTACTGTCTGCTGTGTTTGTACAACTCCGTGTACGAGACGGTCACATTGCCCACACGCAGGGGCAGCTGCACGCTCACGTGGATGGTGTTGCCCGTCACCGACAGATGAACCCCGGCGAGGCGCAGAGTCGCTGCAAATGAGAGGCCGTGTGAGAGCAGCCTCCCTCCGTGACCGCCGGAGGCCTGTCCCGGGGAGCCTCCCCCAGCCCTGCGGCCCTCCGAGCTCTGCAGCAGGGCCCTGGGGCTTTGCCCCTTGCTACCTCCCACGCTGGGGCAGGGGGTGAGCTGTCCCATCCCACTGAACCATGGCACGGCACGGCACGGGACTCCTCCCGAAGCTGATGGGCACGGTCGAGGCCGCAGCCAGCAGCTGGCAGCTCTGTGCCTCGGGGCTTGGTGCCCAGAGGGGAGGGTGAGGGGAGCGCCCCACTACCTTCTTTTGGGGAGAAAGCATTCGTCCGGGTCCATGCTGAGGTGCGGTTTCCAGAGACGGCCCTGACCTGGGCGTAGTAGCGCTTGGTGGGCTCCAAGGTCTCGTTGGTGAGGTCGCAGGAGAGCTCAGAGATCACACGACACTTCGGGGCAGGCATCCAGTTCCCAGGCCCGTACCTGCGGAGACAGCATCCTTCCTCAGCGCGGTGCCGCGGGGCGGGAGGGGGCTTCCATGGGCCGAGCCGCCTGTTTAACGCCAGCAGAGCCTGGGCGGCAGGGCCTGGCGCGCCGCGGCTACTTACAGCCTGTATTCCACGTTGTACAGGGCGTCGCGGGGCGCATCCTCCGTGGGCTCCCAGTGCAGCACATGCTGCAGGGTCTGTGCCACGAATCGCACCTGGGTCGGGGCTGCCAGTGGCTGGGCTGCGGGGAGGAGCAGACCGCGCGGTGAGGGGATGCCGGCTCCCCGGGCCTCAAGCTGGGCTCCCTCTGCCTGCGGGCCAGGCCCGGGCGAGGTTGGTGTGAGTGCGAGATGGGGAAGTTCCCTTGGGAGGCAGGCGAGCAGTGACCTTTGCTGATCCTCTGCCTGGGGAAGGCCAGGGGAGAGCCGGGGAAGTTCTCCGAGCTGCAGGCTGCACGCTCCTTTCCAGGGGGCCTGGGCAGGGCGGTCGCTGCCCGGAGCTGTCGGCCCGGCTGATGGCTTTCCCTGCCCCTGGCTCTCCTGTGGCCCCCGGCCCCCCGCCCCTTCCACATCCTCGGGCGCCATGTCCAGGGCGCAGGGCCTGCGTCCTTAGCAGGAATCCTCGGGGAGCTCCCTTTCCTGCCCTGCCACTGCCTGCCTGCAGGACCCTGGGCAAGTCACCTCGTGGTGACTGCCTGCGTGTCCCTGGGCAAGCTCCAGTTCCGAGGCTGCGGTGGGTGATGGACTAAAGGAGTTGCCTGTTTGTGTCACTAAACTAATTGCTGCCAAGGAAACTCTTGTAAGTCCCCCGCTGACGAGGCTTCCCTGCCTGGCCTGGCCCAGGGTGTCTCTGGGGGGCGAGGAGGACAGAAGCAGCAGAGGACGGAGTGGACACTGAGCGAGCAGTGGGCTCGGTGGGGCCGGCCACAGCGCGCTTGCACTGACCAGGGCTGGGTTGGTTTCAGCCCTGTTCAAAGTGCAGAGGGTCAATGGTCTGATGGGCATCTGCAGAGGGGCAGGGGCAGTGCCCGAGGCTGAACAAGGGTGCAGCGTCCCCGACCTGTGCTGAAATGGGGAGGGGGAGCCAGAGCCAGCTGCCCAGTGCCCGTCCCCTGCTGCCGGGGGTCCACAGCCCAGCGCCTGGGGGCCGCGCGGCCAGCAAAGCCGGCGTGAGGCAGAAGCTAGGCAGCAAAGGCAGAGACATTGTGGGCCCCTAGCACCCTGCCGAGCTGCCCGGCCTTGCAGCAGAGCGGCGCGACCCCCTGGCAGGGCGCAAGAAGCAGCAGGGGGAAGCTGGCGGCCGAGGAGAGGGGCGAAGGCGACTTACCGTGGGCCCACGGGCAGAGGGGCAGCAGCAGGGCCAGTGTCAGGGCCGCGCAGCCCCGTGCCATCCTGCGTGTCCTGCCCGCCGGAGCCTGGAGGGCAGCGCGCTGTGCTGCGGGGAAGCTGTGACACCCTTGTTTTTCCCCGGAGGCCGAGCTGGCTGATGTCACGGGGCGTTTGCTGAGAGCCGTCACAGAGCCGAGCTCTGCTTCCCGCCCACACACCGCCAGGCTCGCTTGTCAGTTGGGCGCTTCCTCCAGCTGGAGCCGGTCGCGTGTGCAGGGGTGCTGCCAGCTCCGGCTCCGCCGTCTCCGCAGCAAGGGGCGCATCCCTGAGCCCTGCCCCTGCCCGCGAGCGAGACCTGCAAAGGGGCGCTCAGCCCCGTGCAGGGGGCGGCAACATGGGACGCGCAGCACTTTTACGAGGAATGGGGTGGCCAGGCTGGAGCAGGCCAGGGGCATCCAGCACAGCGGTCCGGCCTTGGCTCGGCCTCTCAGAGCAGCGCCCCGGTCCCGGTCCCGGTCCCGCTCCCGCTCCCAGGTCCGCAGGGCTCCCTCCTGCCCGGGTTCAGGGGCCGAGGCCCTCGCCATGAGCCGGGGGGACGGTGCCGCAGCTTAGCAGGATTGCTCAGGGAGGGGGACCCTCCCGTTCATGCCCCCAGCTGGCACTTTCCAAATAACCCATGGCGTAAGACCCATAGGCGAGGAAGGAGGAAGGTGACGCGCCACGGAGGAGGGAAGCGGGTGGCACAGCAGCACCGGGTTTAGACGAAAAGGAAAGTGCTGAGCAGAAGTGAGCGTGGGAGCCCGTTTCGAGAGCACCGCTGGCGCAGGCGGCCACTGGGCTTGGCAGCGCCGGAGCCGGCCTGCCCCAGCCCTGGCCAGGGCATGCCCTTGTCTCTGCTAGAGCCCAGCTCGGGCAGGCTGGCGCGCCCCGGCCCACCAACCCCTGAGAGCATCGTGCCTGGGCCCACGTGCTGTGCCCAGCGCATGGGGCATCTCCGAGGGGCCCGGCTACGTGCGGCGCGCACGTGCTCCTGACTCTGCTGTTACGGAGGTGTCTCTCGGGGCTGGGGGCAGTTTTTCATAGATTCATAGACTGGTTCAGAGACGGTCAGGGGCTGCAAGGGACCTGGTAGATCGTCGGGTCCAGTCCCCCGCACTAGGCAGGAAAAGACAACTGGGGTTATGTTACCCCAGCGAGGTGACCGTCCAGTCTCCTGTTGAAGATGTCCAGGGTAGGTGAGCGCACCACCCCTGGGGGGAGTTTATTCCACAGTCTGCACACCCTGACTCTGGAGGAGTTTTCCCTGGACTTGCACCTGACGCGGCTTCCAGGAGTTTGTACCCATTGCTCCTGGTCTTCCCCGGGGGTGCCCTGGTGAACAGCTGTTCACCGAGCCCTTGATGTACTCCCCGATGTAGCGGTAAGCTGCTACCAAGTCCCCTCTCAGCCTGCTCTTCTGTAGGCTGAAGAGGCCCAAGTCCCTCGGCCTCTCCTCGTATGGCTTCTCTTGCAAGTCCCAGGTCATATGAGTGGCAGTGTGGTGTTTGCCCCACGGGCCACAGCATCGCACTGCCGGCTCATGTTCGTGCGATGGTCGAGCACTGCCCCTAGGTCCCTTTTGGCCCTGGTGCAAGTCTAATTGTCACCACCGAGCCTGAGGTCTGCTGGGGATGGTTTGCCCCCAGATGGAGCACCTGACACTTCTGAGAGTTGAACTTCATCTGGTTCTGGTCCGCGCACCTCTCCAGCCTGGCCAGGTCCACCTGTACCTGCAACCTATCCTTTGGCGTGACCACGCTGCCCCATGACTCGGTGTCGTCCGCAAACTGGGCCAGCGAGCTTTTCACCCCCACATCCAAATCATTGATAAAGATGTTGAAAAGCGCCGGTCCAAGCACGGACCCCTGAGGGACACCACTGCCCACGTCGCGCCAGGACGACACACATCCATTCATGGGAGCTCTCTGGGCCCGACCCTGGAGCCAGTTTTCCACCCACTGAGCTGTCGAGCACTTAAGCCCACAATCTTCCAGTTTTCCCACAAGGATACCATGGGATACTAGATCAAAGGTCTTTTGGAAGTCGAGGTATATAACATCGACCTTGTCTCCTGTGTCCAGGTGCGAGAGACCTGGTTGTAGAAGGAGATGAGACTAGATCAAAATCCTTTTGGAAGTCGAGGTATATAACATCGACCTTGTCTCCTGTGTCCAGGTGCGAGAGACCTGGTCATAGAAGGAGATGAGATTGGTAAGACAAGACCTGCCCGCGACGAAGCCGTGCTGGCTGTCGTTCAGGATCTTACCCTCCACGAGCGTGTCGCACATAGATTCTCTAATGAGTTTTTCCAGGATTTTCCCTGGGATGGAGGTGAGGCTGA